GTCTTATAACACATCTAATGTGACCAAATGACGCACGTCCAATCAATTCTCGCATACAAGTTTCTGCAAATTGCGGCGGATCAGATCGTTCTTCAGTTGGGCTGTCCGGTGTTGCGTCTTCCTTATCGGCATATCTAAAGATACAATCAGCGTCAATATATATTCATCGTAATATTTTTCTTTCTAAATTACCTTGAATTTTGCATGTTGTATAGTAATGAAGGTACAATCTTGTCCATATGTACAGGCTCCCATATATTCTCAACCAAATCATCAGAAAGAGTTTTTCTCACAACGCCCTAAATTTTAAAAAAAATATTCAAATATATATATGCAAGTTTCAACATAAATAATTGGATGGATTTAATTCGACAGTGTACCTGCAATCCTTGAATTCCAGCAAGTCTAATTTGCTTGCGTGTAGTAGGATCATCATTATTGGAATGGCACATCGCCGAGTATTTGGACACAAAGAAATCATAACGAGTGTGATACGAAGGTGTGTCTTCTTCAATGTTGGCAAATCTGACAAACTGAAAATTTGTATGTCAGTCAAATAGAACTGATAACTAATCCACTGATAATTGTCACTTACAGATTGTGTTGCGAGAATCTGTAATTGAGGGTCTGTGGATTCTAGCAGTTTTTGCACCATTTTTAAAAAGCTTTCTACAAAAAGATTCAAAGTTTGTGCATGACAAGCTACTAGAAGCTGATCCATTGCCTCCATGGCGATCACAACAAAGCCATTTCGTCGTCTATCAAAACATAATTTTTTCAAAAAGAATTCTTGTCTTGATTATAAATCTATTGAATGTACAGTTGTATACAGTTATACAGTTGTACTAGAATTATTGTCAGTCATGTTTATGACAGTTATTAAGATCTTTGAAGAAGTTTCTTTGGTTCTTATATATATAACAGTATATAATTATTTATATAACCAGCGTTACAATATAATTTGCATTAGATTACATATTACATTAATGAAAGATATTATAACACACTTTTCTACAACATACCTGTAAATATCTCTGGAAGCTCGTTGGAACAGGTATTCTCCAATCCTATCCAACTTCTCAGGACTGCTCAATGAATAGAACGTCAGTTTTTCCATATTGTTTTTAATCAAACCATCCTGAAAAGTAGAGAGATGCATTAATACAGATTGTCGTGTGCACGATACGTCGATTCATTTTCTCATTTGCAAATATCACAGGTTCAACCATAAATAGAATAATCATTTTGGTCTCTCCTCTTCCTGTCAAGGACAGCGTATTGATTTATTTGCATTCGCAAGCGCAGCTATAAAACACCCTGACGGACTATACGAGATGACAAAGAAAAAAAAATTTCTCTTTTGAGAAAAAGACATGACAAGATCTTACCTGAGGATTAACCGGAAAAATATTGTCGACGAGCCTCTTATATCTTGGACGTAACGCAGCGCAGCACCAACAACAGCCTGATAAAGAAAAAAAGATCATGAAAAAACGCTGACGTGTCACTGTCAAATCGCAGTCCAATCGAAATGTATCGTTAACAATGCGTAATTCTGTCTATAAAAAATTGTCGTACTCACCGAACATTTCGACAGCTCCTGTGCAAAGTGATGACACCTACGCACCACCGACGTATGTCATGTACGCACACACTCGCGAGTCGATTGGCATTCTATCGATAGCCTAGTAACTATCGATGAAAAATACACGATTTCAGTCAACGTGCCACTTTCTCTAGTTAGAACTGTTTTACGTCTAACAATTGCTTCACCTGCCGAACACGCGTCTGCGCGTCGCGCTCACATTTATGATCGCATGAAGATTGATTTCATATTACGATTTACGAAATAACGAAGATTGATGA